AGCACTTCGTAGATCAAGACCTGGGCACTTAAGCAAAGGCTTAGTCTTATACTTAGGGTAAGTACCTTTAGACTTAGGGTTTCGGGTTTCGGGTTTAGGGGATTAGGGGTGTAGGGTTTAGGGTTTCGGGGTCATATCGGGCTTTTGGGTGGAGAGATTGCTGTTTGTCAGGGCTTCTGAATCTGCCACACTCCCCCAACCGCAAGGGTCCATGTACCCCAATAGTATATACTTTGGCCTTAAAGCAGTCCCTTTGTAGGTTTTTGGGGGAGTTGGGTACATGGACCCTTCCGGATCTCTCCCACACCAAAAACCAACCTGAACCCGAAGAGAGTGGCCTAGATGAATCATTAGGGTTTAGGGTTTCGGGTTTAGGGTTTAGGGTAATGAATCATTAGAACTGAAATACGGAACCCTGAGCAAGAGTATTGCTGTTGATTGAAGCCCCTAGATTGAACCGTACACCCTGAACATGTCCTTCTTGATCTTCGGGTAGTTCTCGGAGATCTTCAAGACGCTTTGGCAAATATTGATGGCTGGCACATATCCTCAAGCGTTCGGGAGATGGAGTTTAAGTACGAAGCTCAGCCGCAGCAGCTTTGAGCGAAAAGCACCAGCAAAGGAGGCCAACAGGAAGGAGTATTTACAAGGCAAAAGGCTACCCTGCAGCTTCTTCGGAATCCGAACCCCTCAGCTCAACTACCAGCGCATCAGCCAGTAACCCTAAAACTCAACTCTGAACAGCTCAAGACCTCAAAACTCAAGACACAAAGCCCAAACCGTGTAGACACCCTAAAAGCTTCCTTCCGCTTCTTGGGCATACTGGGTTTAGGGTTTAGGGGTTTAGGGTTTAGGGTTTAGGGTTTAGGGTTTAGGGTTTACCCCAACCCCTGAACCGGATCAAAAAAACGAAGCCTCTCATCCTGTAGCCACCTTGACCAGTAGAATCTTGCCGCCAAGAAGCGCTTTGCCTTAAGATAGTTGAAGGCAAGCCGATAGCCTGAGTGGTTTGGCCACTAAACCCTAAACCCTAAACCCTGAACCCTGAACCCTGAACCCTAAACCCTAAACCCTAAACCCTAAACCCTAAGCCCAAACCCTAAAACCCTTACGTGACATGACCCTGAAAACTGGCCCCTAAACCCGAAACCAATCTGATAACCTTTACATGACCCTTCTACTGGAGTCTAAACCCTAAACCCTAAGTAGCCGCAAACCCGAAAACCTCCTCCTTTGAGGCTGTGACCCACCGCGGGGGATGCTTCGTTGCAGAACTCCCAGGCTTTCTCGTAGTGCGAGGCGGCATCCTAGGGTCAGACATGGGGGGCCTCACCAAGTAGACTTTAGGGTTTAGGATTTTTGTTCCCGGGGGACGGGGGGGTGGGGGTGTAGGGTTTAGGGTGTAGGGTTTTGGGTTTTAGGGGCTTTGGTTTAGGGTTTAGGGTCTAGGATCCGTATGACATTATGAGCAGGCTCGGAGGCAGGGGCATAAGTGTGATACTTTTCCACCACCAGTGGCCTTAAGAATTAGACCAGGGCTCTCGTGTTCGTGCGCTAATCGGGAGGGTTATTCATAGGGGGCTTTGATAAGTAGAGTAGCGTTTTAGTTTTAGAATGATATGCTAGGGTTTAGGATTTAGGGTTACGGACCTTTGGTACTAGTCTGCGAATGCAAGGCGGGTTGCCTGCAAATTGTAAGCTCGAAACCCTCAACCCCCAAATCCTAAACCCCAAACCCGACATGATAAAGCCTGCTTGCTTGAACATACTATCCGGTTCATGTACCTGCTTGCATCGTGTGCTTAAAGCTTTGTTTCTTTATGCCTTGACCTACCCATGTCCTATACTTGGAGGGTCGGGAGACTTAGTAAGTAGGTAATAAGTAGACTTATAAGTACCCTAAAAGAGACCCTAATTGGGGTTATAGTAC